CTTACCAGCCCGACGACCTAGTTTTACTTGACACCCAGAACCTCCGCCTGCCCATCACCCCGAAACTCCGCCCCCGATACTGTGGACCATTTCGCATCAGCCACATGGTCACACCCGTCACCGCCCACCTCCTCCTCCCCGCTGACTGGTACGTCAGCCCCTCGTTCCACGTCAGCCTGCTTCGCCCCTACGTCCCGTCCACAAGCCAACTCCCACGCAATCGCCCAGCCAGCATGACACGACCACCGACCGAACCAATCATCACCCCCGAGAAGATTCTGAGTCACAGAGTTCGCGACCCTCGAGGAGCCCGAAGGATCGAGTTCCTGATCCGCTGGAAGGACCGTACACCCACCGAAGACAACTGGGTTCCCCTGGACAGAATCGAAAACCACCCCGTAATCACCGAGTATCTGCGCAGCCGAAACTTCAGGGATGTACACGCACTTTCGTAAGGAGGACCTCCTTAGGGGGGGGGGTAGTGTAAGGAAAATTCCTTTTCCTTACTTCGCGTCCCCGCTCAGCGCGTACATCACTGTAGCACCACAGTCAGCACCGTTACCACTCGCAACTCTCGCATCGACAATCCTCCCGCCACCTTCGCACGTCGCACCCCGACCTCACGGCTCGGCGGGTAACCCGCGCTCTGGGCCTCCGCTTCGACACTTTTTCCAACCTCAGTCCCAGGCCCAACCACAGTCCATTACCGTTACCACTGTAGTTTCGCTATATATTCTTCGCTCATGCCTTCACTCATTTGTACTCTTGCTTCGATAGTGCAATTCTCGCTCACTCAGTTGCACTCGTAACACTAAGAGTGATGTGTTCCATAACATTTACCATCGAAGGAACCTCACTGCTGTAAGTGCATTGCAAAATAGATCCCAACACGCCCTACCAGCCGTATTTAACCGTGGTGAAACATGAAGTTTGCGGACGAAGGAAGAACTGCATTTCGTGCCGCGACCGTGATTACTTCGGAAGCATGGCAAAGGGGGTACTGTTCGTGGGGTGGGGTGCCGCTGGAGTTGCTACTTGTTGCAGTGAACTGTGGCTGCTGCTCGCGTGGCACCAGGGTGGCGGTAAATTTTTCACGTGGCGAAATTTTTTCGCCGCAATTTCCCCGTCAGCCTAAATTCAAATCTGCAAAAGGCATCTTGCAAAAATGCCCACTCGCCACCACACCCTTCCTATCTCCAGACAGCAAAGCATCACCTTCTTTTCACCAATCAAAACCTATCAATCCTCCACCTCAACTCTCCTCCTACCCTCATCATCTTTCCCATCCCATTATCCACCAATCAAACAAAAGATTCCATACCAAGCCTTCCAATCCAAGCCACATTCATTCCACTCACCAAGCCTTAAAATCAAAGCCAAATACATCCCATTCACCAAGCCTTCACTTCAAGGCCACATTCATCACCCCCATCTTATCCAACTCAACCAATCACAACCATTCATCCTTTCCTCATTCTTCATCCAACATCAAGCTCCACCAAATACAAAAGGGTCCTCTTCATTTCTTCAAACTCATATTTAAAAAAATGCTACTTCATACCCAAACTTTCAACAAGTTCTTCAAGCTCCCTCAAGGCCAACCTCAAGTCCTCCTCCTTATGCTCCAACTCCTAAGGCTTCATCATCATCACCAACCTCTCCCAACCCAAGCTCATAGCCATATGCTCCAACTCTAGAGAAGTTTGTGCCACATAGTTTTACTTCTAGATCATCAAGGATAGTTGATCTCAAGATCCTACATGTACCTCCTTTTGGATTAATGTACTTTAAAGCTTCAAGCAAGATTGGTGTATTCTTCTACCCAAGGTCCAAGCTCCAACCTCAACATCCAAGCTTGGAGGTTTCTCTTCATTCAACAAACAATATCTACAAGTCAACATTCAAGATCAACTCATCAACATTCAAGCTTTGAGGTTCTTCATTCAACAACTAAGACAACATTCAAGCTTGAAGTGAAGATCAACTTTTATAACATAATAGTAAGAACTCTTTTCAAGTAAGTGGTTATCTCTTCCCCTCATTTTCACCAAGTTTTTTTTACATCAAAGTTCATTTGCTATTATCAAGTTGTTTTACATTCAAGCTCTTTCCATAATAATCAAAATTTTATTCTCAAGTTCGTTACAAGCTCTTTTCAAGTATCTTTCAAGCCCTTTACCTTTTCTTCAATACTTTCTTTTAAGCCAACCTTGTTTGGTCCCTTTTATCCCTATCAAGTTTATCTATCTTCTCCTTCAAAGCTTTCTTCATTCTTAATCACTCCATACTTCAAGATTTCCTTTCAACTTATTTTTGCCATTCAACTTGTTTTTGCTTTTCAACTTGGTTTTACTTTGATCTTACCTTTTCTTTCTAGGTGTTTTCTTTCTTTCTCCTTACCATTTACCCTCCCTCATCTTTAACTTCAATTTCAAGACTACTGTACGGCACATCCCACTGCTTGTTACTTTGTCGTGTTCTTCCGTAATCACCGTGAACCCAGCCCAGCTTTCAGACTGTCAAAAGTGCATTTGTCTTCGAACTCGAATCACAGAGCTTCGCGCATCCATGTCACACCCGTAATACCCGGGCTAACTGTGCCGCCAATGTCGCCTCATGGTACCCAAGAAATTTATGGAGGGGATGTGATTGTGTGACGACGAGGCAAAAATGTTCCCGCGCGAAATTTCTTGCCCTTCAACTTAGCGGTTCGGCCCCACTTTGGTGACCTGACGACCACCCGACCGCACCACACAACACCCTTCCCAGATTCAATGTCTCACGGCTGGCCCTTGTTCGGTTCCACATCAAATTTGCAGTTTCTCCTCGCCTATGAGCTTCAGTGTACGTGTACTGTACATTTCAAATTCCTCCAACCATTGTTCGCTGACCTCGATATGCGGTCCGGGAACGGGATACTCAGTGGTGAACGAGTGGCAGCGATTGTCGCCGCCGGCTGAGCTGGCACCACTTCGAACGGTGGAGCGCCTCTCACGACGAGGACATAGTGTCGTGATCACGATGAAACAGTGGGTGTGATCGCGTCGCGCAGCAAAAAAGGTCAACTCGAGAGATGATTGTCCAATTTCCGCACCTCACTCTGCGGCATTATAGGCGCTCTTCAGTTTGATGACCAGACCAGACCTATAATGCGCAAAGTGCGCCTCCTGTCCAGCATTTGTTCAAATGAGAGCTAGCTCGTTCAATCAGACTTCCTTTTTCACTCAGGAGCAAGTTCTCTTGTTGATTTTTTGTACGCGGCCATAGCCTGTACGGCAACATCAGCAGAAGACTCCCCTCCAAGTCAGCTTGCCTAAGCACGAGCTTCACCCATTCCTTCCATTTTGTTTGACGCTTTCTTATTTTCTGAAAATATCGTGTACGTCTCGCATCGTCAAGACATCCAGCAACTTCTCGAAGCATCTCAAAATGGGCGTCAGCGGTTCGAAGGCGGCGCATCTTCCCAGCTTCAAGCGAGCTCGGAAGCTTCGCGAGAAAGTCTCACACGCCATCCGGCGTTCAAAGTCAGTGGACGGTCGCGTCGCGAACATCCCCGAATCGGGACGTTTTTCCGTCGAGTCGTACCCTCTATCATCCCGCGCGTTCCCTCGATCGGAATCGGACCAGATCGCGCCGTATCCGCGATCGGATTCGGATAAAATCATGGAGGCCTATAGCAGCTCCGACGGCAGTTCGCCGTGCACGCCGCGCCTGCTGCTGGAATGGCAGCATCGCATCGGCGACGACTTCTTCGACGAGGCGCTTGAATTGGAGTTTTACGAATGCGAGGGGAACGAGTGCGAAGCGGTGAACGAGCGTGACCAGCGGAACACGCGCGGCAACGGTGCTGAAAGGACAGGCTTGGAGAATGGAATTCCGAAAAATGGGAGTTCCGTTGCGCTGTCCTCCTCGGAGTTGCCGCTGAGTTCGGAAGCCGGCGCGGTGAATGACGCCGAGGATCGGCGGGTCATCGTGGATCGGATGCTTGGTTCGGTGCAGGCTCGGGAAGGCCTTGATGCAGGCCTGTACGCCGGTTTGGGGAGGAACTACCCCATAGTTATGCGACTATCCGACTCGTGTCCGCTGCCGTCGTACGTGGTCGCCCACTCGTAACCGCTCGCATGCAACAGGCGCACGAAATCGCAGACACGTCGCAGCCGTCGCACGCGGGATCGCTGCATGTTCTAAGCACCTGCGCGGCGAGTATGTTCCAGAAGGGGCTGCCTTTTCCGCGACAAACAACGCTCCAGGACTTATGATGTTCCAGAAGGTCCTGGTGCTTCTGACTAACAGTGTGCTACTAACAGTGTGCCACTTGCACCATTCATTTGCTACGCATGAGCAGGGCATGTGATACTGACACTTGGTATTTGTCCTGGCATGTGATAGTGCGCCCAAGTTCTGTCAGCCATGAGGTTTCGACATTTGCTCGAACGTAAAGCGAGCAATTCCGTTAACTCCATGCCATGGCCCTGTGAAGCGAACAGAAAAAGTAGGGAGCATGGCAGGTTGTGATAGGTGAAGGTTTAGCGTGACAAATGTACCTCTGTCCCTCATTAGTGGAATAAGGCAAAGCTTATGCGTATCATTACGTCGCTACACTTTGATGCCTCACTCAAACGCGTTGTTAACTGTAATTGATAAACAAGCCCTCCAATGAGGACAGTTAGCGAAGGATGTGTTCATACAGTGTTTCTTGATTTCATTTCTTTATGTTGATAAACATGCTTGCTAAACACCCCAATCAAACACTGCTTCTCCCCTACAGAATTCATTCCCTTCACCCACCCCCTCAGCCCCCTCCACTCTCCCTCCCCCTTCCCCTTCCACACCCCACTTGGATGAAGGAATAAGATGTTTTGGTACGAGTATCACCGCCCCATTCCCAACAGTCCTGGCCTTTCTGATCTCCTCCTGAACTACCTTTATTATAACTCAACTGTGCTTGTTCTTCCTTCCCTTGAACCCTGCTCATCCTCGCTATCCGCGTTGCGCGCACCCTAGCCCTCCACCTCTGCAATAATCTCCTTGATCAGCTGCTGCTTGTAATCCTCAAAGCTTCCCGGAAACTTCTTAGTCGTGCCGTTGTCCACCACCCAGATCTCTGCCCTTTCCTCGTCGTCACACACGCGCGAGATGAGGCGCGAATCGTGGGACACCAGCACCACTCCTCCGGTGAACTCGTCTAACGCGTCTGCCAGCGCGTCAATACTCTGCGCAAAACACGGGAGACACGGAGAGCGGTGGTACAAATGAAATGAGCACAAATCAGGCAAGTTCGGGGCCACCACCCCGACCACCCAGATCTCGGCCCTTTCCTTGTCATCACACACGCGGGAGATGAGGCGCGAATCGTGCGACACCAGCACCACGCCTCCCGTGAATTCGTCCAATGCATCTGCCAGCGCGTCAATACTCTGTGCAAAACACGGGAGACACGGGCAGGGGTGGTACACTCAAACTTGGTGAGCAAGAATCAGGAAAGCTTGGTCATGTAGGGTGTTTAAGAGAATTCTGAAAAAACACCCTAGAATCAGGCAAGCTTGGCCCACCACCAACCACCCAGATCTCAGGCCTCTCCTCGTCGTCACACACGCAGGAGATGAGACCTAAAAGGTCCCCTGCACTTCCAAATCACCACATACTTGCATTGTATGTGAACGGGGAAAGATGGAATGCCAGATAATGCATTGTATGTGAACGGGAAAAGATGGAATGCCAGATAATGCATTGTATGTGAACGGGAAGGGATGGCATATCACAACACCTGCATGTCAAGGTGCTCCGTTGGTTCATCCAGCAGCAGAATGTGCGGCCGAGCCATGCTGATCAATGCCCTACGGGGAGACTCAACATATGACCTAGAAACATCCATTAGTCACCAACACACACCTGCATGTCAGGTTGGTTTGTAAGTTCATCCAGCAGCAGAATGTGTGGCCGAGCCATGCTAATCGCAGTAAACACCACCCGGACAAGTACCAGAATGTTTGCAGGACCATTCCGGCAAAATGAGTGGCATGTCACCATACCTGCATGTCCGGATGGTTTGTAGGCTCATCCAGCAGAAGAATGTGCGGCCGAGCCTTGCAGATTGCCGCAAACACCACCCGGACAAGTACCAGTGTGTTTGCAACAAGGTTCAGGCATGAAACATGAGTGAGTGGCATACCACCATACCTGCATGTCAAGGTGATTTGTCGGTTCATCCAGCAGCAGAATGTGTGGCCGAGCCATGCTGATCGCAGTGAACACCACTCAGATACCAGAGAGTATGCAGTAGGTGATGGAAATGAAGACAAGGAATGCCATACCACCGTACCTGCATGCTTCCATACCTGCATGTCAAGATGGTTGGTTGGTTCATCCAGCAGAAGAATGTGCGGCCGAGCCTTGCAGATTGCCGCAAACACCACCCGGACAAGTACCAGTGTGTTTGCAACAAGGTTCAGGCATGAAACATGAGTGAGTGGCATACCACCATACCTGCATGTCAAGGTGATTTGTCGGTTCATCCAGCAGCAGAATGTGTGGCCGAGCCATGCTGATCGCAGTGAACACCACTCAGATACCAGAGAGTATGCAGTAGGTGATGGAAATGAAGACAAGGACTGGCATACCACCGTACCTGCATGCTTCCATACCTGCATGTCAAGATGGTTGGTTGGTTCATCCAGCAGCAGAATGTGCGGCCGAGCCATGCTAATCGCAGTGATACCCTACGCGCTGACTCAACACAATGACCTAACTACGTGCACCAATCACCAACACACACCTGCATGTCAAGATGGTTGGTTGGTTCATCCAGCAGCAGAATGTGCGGCCGAGCCATGCTAATCGCAGTGATACCCTACGTGCTGACTCAACACAATGACCTAACTACGTGCACCAATCACCAACACACACCTGCATGTCAAGGTGATTCGTCGGTTCATCCAGCAGCAAAATGTGCGGCCGAGCCATGCTGATCGCCGTAAACACCACCCGAGCCTTCTGCCCTCCGCTCAGCTTCACGATCGGCGTCAGATGATTATGGCTCGGCAGCCCAAACTTCCCGAGCCTGCTCCGAACCGCCTCCTGCCGGCTCGGGCCCTCCTGGTTCGGGTACAACCGGAGCAAATACTCCACTGGAGTCTCATCAAACGCCAGAAGGTCCACAAAATGCTGCGAGTACCGCCCGATCCGAAGCTTCTGGCTCTGCCTAGACTCCCCCTGCGTCGGCTGCAAGTCCCCCGCGAGCAAATTCAGCAGCGTCGACTTCCCCGCCCCGTTCGGCCCGACAATCGCAACCCGCGTCCCCATGTCTATCCCCACATCAACCTCAGAAAGCGCGAAATCCGGCCGGTTGGGATACGAGAAGGAGACTTCTTTGAGTTGGAGCAGAGGCGGAGTGAGTTCGGTGGGTTCGGGGAAATGGAATTCGACGGCGTAGTCCCGCCATCTCTTGGGGGCTTCGGCCGGCGTGTCGTCGTCCGCGTCGCCGGCTGAGCTGGCGCTCTTCTTGCCGCCCTTCCGAGCCTCTTTTTGTGCGTTGAACTTGGCTCGGTCCTTGACCTGTGATTGTAACGGAGGGTGGGGTGGGGTGATTGTTAGAGAATGGTGAGGGGTTGAGTTTGAAAATTGGTTCAAACGCCACTCTCAGGCCTCTTTCTGTGCATTAAACTGAGAGTTTAATGGGTATGCTTGACACTAAAAAGAGCCTGGTTACCTGGTTACCCAGTTCTCCTTGTCCTGGTTCTTCCTGTTCCCTGACCTCTTGGCTGCCTTTAACTGTTTCTCATACTTTAACTTCTAGTTCTTCTCCCACCCCACACATGGTTGCCAGTACCTGTGTATCGGGTTACTCTCAGTAACTTGGTTACCAGCCTCCTTGTCCTGGTCGCTTGGCTGCCTTGAGCTGTTTCTCATACACCTCAAACTTGTTCTTCTTCTCCCACCCTAGTACCTGTACATCAAGTTACAGTTACCTGGTAACCAGTACTCACCTAATACTGGTTCTGCCTGTTGCCTGGCCGCTTGGCTGCTTTGAGGTGCACCTCATGCACCTCACAGACTTGTTGTTCTCCCACGCCAACTCCGGTTGCAGTTACCCGGTTACCACCACTCACCTTGTCTTGGTTCTCCCTGTTCCCTGACCGTTTTGCGGCCTTGAGCTGATTCTCATACACCTCAAACTTTTGTTGTTCTCTATACCCTTGGAATTACATGATTACCAGCTCCACTCACCTTGTCCTGGTTCTGCTTGTTCCCGGACCATTTCGCCACCTTGAGCTGTTTCTCATACACCTCAAACTTCTTGTTGTTTCTCCCACCCCAACTCTGGTTGCCAGTACCTGTGAATTGGGTCACTCTGTAATTACCTGGTTACCTGGTACCGGTGCTCACCTTGTCCTGGTTCTGCTTGTTCCCGGACCGCTTCGCCGCCTTGAGCTGTTTCTCATAGACCTCAAACTTCTTGTTGTTCTCCCGCCGCTTCTGCTCATACATCTCCTCGAAGCCCTCGAAGTTACCCTGCAGGGGAGGAAGAGAGGGAACGCATGGGGAAGAAGCAACAATGGGGAAGAACCAACATGTGAGTCAGACGTACACTCCCGCCCGCTTCTGCTCGTACAACTCCTCGAACCCCTCAAAATTACCCTGCAGGAAGGAGAGAGGAAGGAAACAGAAAGGAAGAAAGAACAGAACATGTGAGAATTTGGATATAACTTCCCAACCACCCCACTTTCTGCTCGTACATTCTCCCCTACCCCCCTCGAACCCGAGAATGACGAGAAGAGAGAGCAGGAGAGTCAGACGGAGAAAGGGGCGAAACAGAAAACATTTCCGGAGGAATAGACAGAGAAGGACACAAACAGACTCACCCGGTGACCTATGTCTGTTCGTACATCTCAACATTCCCACGGTTTCCCTTTTGAGAATTCTCGAAAGTGATTCCCGAGCATCTCAACATTCCCACGGTTTCCGTTTTGAGAATTCTCAAAAGTGATTCCCAAACATCTCAACATTCCCACGGTTTCCGTTTTGAGAATTCTCAAAAGTGATTCCCAAACATCTCAACATCCCCACGGTTTCCATGAACGTGAGGGAAGAAAGGGAAAGGAACCAAGTCGTGCACTCCCGCTGCTTCTGCTCTTACATCTCCGCAACCACTCGCTTTTGAGTCGACTCAAAATCAACCACTCGTCGTACCTTGTAGAAGAACAGCTTCTCGTCGTGCAGGTGAATGATATCCGTGCAGACAGAGTTAAGAAAGTCGCGATCGTGCGACACGACGATTAGAGTCTTCTTCCACCTCATCAAATACTCCTCCAGCCATAAGACCGCCCTAAGATCCAGGTGATTAGTAGGCTCGTCCAGCAGCAGCAGCGTCGGCTGCACGTAAAGCGCGCGCGCGAGCGAAATTCGCATGCGCCACCCCCCAGAGAACGATTTCGTCGACCGCGCCTGCATCTCCTTTGTAAACCCTAAACCCGCGAGGATCTTCGACGCGCGCGCTTCCGCCGCTTCCGCGCCGATCTCCCGCATCTCGTCGTACACGTGCGCAAGCTTCTCGCTTGCGCTCGCCTCGTCTTCCTCCTCCTCCGCCGTCGCGGCTGCGGCGGCGGCGGCGGCAGCAGCTGCTGCTGCTGCTGCTTGCGCGCCCTTCTTCCTCCCTTTCCCTTTCACTTTCCCTGTCGTCCCACTCTCCCCCGTTTCTTCCGCCGTCTCGCTACTCTCTCCCTGCTTGTCCTTTTCCACCCCTTCCCTGCCTCCTCCCGTCCCCTTCTCCCCTTCCCCTTCCGCATGCGAATATTTATCCAAAATCGCTCGTAACCGCGCTTCTTCCTCGCGCAATTTCACCAGCTTCATATCTGCAGTCACAACAGCTTCTAACGCGGATCTTTCGTCCCCAACCACCTCCTGCTCCACTAAAAGCACGTCAATGCCACGTGGCACCGGCAGCTGCCGCCGCGCAAGCAGCTTCATCACCGTCGATTTACCCTTGCCGTTAGGCCCTACTAGCCCGTACCGCCTTCCGTGAACGATAGTTAGCGACGCGTTCCTGAATAGTTCCTTCCCGCGCGCCGAGACCGAAAAGTTCTCCACTTTAATATCCCGCACGTTCGCGTCGGCCGCAGTTCCCGCCGCGCCGTCCGCGTCTTCCGAAGGGTCGTCCGCGACTCGGGAACCGAGAGTGACGGAAAACGCGTTAGCGTCGTCCGCTTTAAGAGCCTCTTTACGCGCCTCTTCCTGGGCTTGCTCAATCATAAGCTCCTTCTCCTTCTTCTTCTTCGCTTGCTTATCCAACATCTGCAAGCTACCCATCCCCGTTACAAGCCCGCGACCCCTCCCCGCCTTGGATCCGCCAATATCGACGTCTTCAACAAACTCCCCATCATCTGCGCCGTCCATTATTTCTTCCTCTTCGTCATCGGACGGCGGGAGATCGACGCCCGCGAGGTAATCGTCTTGCGGCTTTTTGCTCGGCGGAGCGCGCGATTTCTTCCCGCCGCCGCCGCCGCCGCCGGAAGGGGCGACGGACGGTTTCTTTTCGCCTTTACCTTTCTCCTCCACCACTATGCTGCTGACGGAAAACTTTTTCCGGTCCGCGGCGGCCGGCTTGCCTGACCCCGCTTTACCGCCTTTGCCGCTCGTTCCGCCGGCGGAATCGCCTTTCTTGGGAGCCATGGCCAGGGAATGTGCTGACACGAGCTATTTAGGTGACGCGTTGGTTACAGAATGCGTCGAAAGCGGAGAAAACCACAGAAGACGCAACTCGATTATAGTCTGGTATCAGCCGAGTTCGCGACGTTCTCGAGGTATCTTCGCACGTTCTAAAACGCGCAAGTTTCGACTGTGCCGATAAGCTTCTACCGAATCCCGATGTTCTTGAATGAAAGATCCTAAGTTACCAAGTGCCACAACTCAAGGTTTGTCTGTGCAACGTAAGGTTTTGGGAGGAGGGGCTTACCGTTCGAAACGAGTGTTTGAAGAGGTTCAGCACGCTACCACGGATTCCAGTGGGATAATGTGCGTTTCAATAGTGGATGTGCAACAGGGAAAATAGAAAGCATGCGGCATCCTCGATGGGTGGGGCAAAATCCAAAAGTGCGATGGCAGCCGCAAATTGGTGGCCACGTGGCGAATCCAAGCTGAGCTGGCGCAGCGTCATGGGATGAGTAGTTCTAGGATACTCCAGCATCACGGCGGGGAGATGCGACACCTTTCTAGTGTACACTGTAATCACGGTGCATATATATTTGGATCAGTCCACAACATATCATATATTGATGTTTGGGTTTTGTTCATGAGATCATTAAGGAGCTTTATGGTCTTGAAGGAGATCCTTGAAGGCGTGTGACATCCTGCATATATCAACAACACAGGGAGGAGGACCAATAATCAAACATTTGATAAATCCAAAAAAGGCGACTTACTTTCAGGAAATGATATTAGAAGAGGGGCGTACCTCCAAGGGAGGTGGTCGAGGAACATGGAGGGCGACACGAGAAGATCTCGCAGCGACTCCCGAGGAATGAAGCGAGCGCGGTGGCGTGAGGAGGCAAAGGGGTTCCCTGCCAGTGACCGAAACGACTCCAGCAACCCCGGCTTGGCTGCCGCTGCCTCCAACACCCTCTCCTCCTGTGACCCCCCTTGCACCTCGCCTTGCACCCCGCCTTGCACCCCGCCTTGCATCCCGCCTTGCACCCCGCCTTGCACCCCCCCTTGCATCTCGCCTTGCATCTCGCCCATTCCTGAACCCCTGGCTTTGCCCCCCCCCTCAACCCCCTCATCCCCCTCACCCCCCTCACCCCTCTCTCCCCTCTCGCTCCCCTCACTCCTTGCACCCATCTCAACCCCTTCACGCCCCTCATCCTTGCTTCTCGCCCATTCGTTCCCGTTTTGTCGGGCTCCTCCGTTTCGATCACCTTTGTTAATATCACCTTCTATAACATCAATGCAGATCGCACCATCATTCCCATTGCCCACATCGATCCTCACAGGCGCTGCGTCAGCCTCAGGCGGACCGGCTGCTGACGTGGCACCCTTATCCTCCCACACTGTCTGCACTGCTGATGTGGCAGCCTTATCCTCCTTCACTGTCCGCACTGCTGACGTGGCAGGCCTAACCTCTTCCCTCACTATATGCACAACCTTGCCGAGCACATACACTTCTCCTGGGAACTCCTGTTCCTGCTCCACCAGCCAAGCAGGCCTGCTCCGGACATCTGTAACACCCCCACCCATGCGGTTACCAGCACCGCCACTCGCACTCCTCCTCGCACCAGCACCACCAGCCGCAGCACCTCTCCTTTGGTTCCCTCTTCCTCCTCCACTCCCACCCCAGTGAAGGCCACCACTCCAGCCACCGCCACTGCTGCCGCCACTGCCACCCCCATCAGCATCGGCTGCAGCAAGTGCAACGTCGTTGGCGCTGCTGCTGCGGCGGGGGAGGTGGGAGAGGAGAGAGAGGGACCGTTTCATGCGCCCGTGATGCAAGGGAGGGAGCCTGTAGGGCGATGCTGCTGGGAGGTTCTCTGATCCTGTCTTGTGATTCTGCTGCTGCTGCTGCTGCTGCTGGTGATGGTGATTCCGTTGCTGGGACTCTGATGCACTGTTATCTTCCCTGCAGTCACCCTCCCCAGCACTTGCATCATTAGAGGCAGCATCAGCAGGAGAGGCAGCACGAACGAGAGAGGCGGCAGCAGCAGGAGAGGTGGCATTAGCTGACGAAGCAACAGATGCTTCCTCGTTGTTTCCTCTGAATCCGCTCTCATTACTATCCCTCCTCCCAGAAGCGTCGCTGCTGCTAGCACGAGCTGCTGGGAGGGAGGGAGGGGCGGCAGTAGCAGGAGGGAGGGGAGGAAGAGCGCGTGAGTGAGTGGCGGTGGCAGGAGGAGCAGGAGCAGCAGAAGGAGCAGAAGGAGCAGCAGCAGCAGCAGCAGCAGCAGAAGAACCACCACCACCACCACCACCCACACCAACACCGGTATAAGCAGCAGCACCACCACCACCAGCACCAGCAGCAGCAGCAGCACCAACACCTGCACTAGCAGCATCGGCAGCGGCAGCAGCAGGACCATGAGCAGTGCCAACAGCATCATCTGCATTTTCAGGCGCCTCGGAATGCTGCGTCTCTGGGAGCTCGATCTTGGTGCGGCAGTGCTCATGCTGGCTGGTACTTTCACCAGCAGCAGCAGCGGCAGCAGAATTGCTGGCACCATCAGGAGTGGAAGCAGCAGCAGCATCTACGTGCTTAGGAGCCTCAGAACGCTGCTGCCTTGGGAGCTCGATCTTGGTGCGGCAGTGCCCGTGCTTGCTGGCGGATACAAGAAAACCTGCCACTCCAGACACAACCCACCACACCCCTTGCGCCTCATGCGCCGATTTCACCCACTGTCGCCTGCTGCTGCTGCCACTCCTGCTGCTGCCACTCCTGCTGGTGACACTCCTGCCACTGCTTCTGATGCTTCTGCTGATACTCCCGCTGTTGGTGCTGCTGCTGCTGTTTGGCCCGGCAACTCTCCGTTGCCTGTCGTCGCCTATTCGGCTTTCTGCTCCTAAGATGGAGGTGTTTGGGTCCATGGGTAGTGATATTGCTGCACGTGGCACTGTAGCAGGCGGCACTTTAGCAGGCGGCACTGTAGCAGACGGCACTGTAGCAGAAGGCACTGTAGCAGGCGGCGCTGTAGTCGGATGGGCAGTAGATCCTGTCCCTTCGGCCGCCCCCGATAAGTTATCTAGTGGTAACCGTGTATTGTCAGCTCCAGCTGATTCAGCTAACACCGCTCCATTTTCTTCAACTATCTCTGCTCCTCCTCTTGCTGCTGCTGCTGTGGCTGCTGCTGCTGCTGCTTCTGCTGCTGTTTCGCTTGCCAAACCACCTAAGCCTACTGAGCTTCTCACAAAGGAAAGGTCGGAGATTGACCTCCCGAGGTTAGGTTTGCCGCTAGGTTTGGTGATAGGCTTGGGGCCAGCCTTGGAAGCCCCAACGTTAGATCCCCCAATAGAAGAGCCACCCATATATGCATACGCAGAGTCGCGCTGCAGTTCGCTTTCCACCTCCTGCACTCCCTCTAACCGCTCTCCACTGTCCCTCACACCTCTCTCCCCCACGCCACTCCTCCCCTCTGCTTCCCCATCACCCCCATTCTCCCCCTCCTCATCCCTCCCCCTCCACCCTCTCCTCGCTCCCCACCTTCCCCACAGATATTTCTTCTTCTTCTGATGACGTGGCATGACGTTTTCTCTCAGCCAATCCTGTGCGCCCTTACTCCCCTTAGCCTGGCAATACTCGATCAGGGAAGCATAATCCTCCCTTGCGTATCCGGTCAGCCTAGACCCACCGGCAGCAGCAACAGCACCAGCACCAGAAGGAGCCAGAGCATAACTAGCACCGGCAGTACCATCAGCAGCAGCAGCAGCAGCGACAGCCACACCAGAAGAACCAGCAGCAGCAGCAGCAGCAGCAGGAGCAGCAGCAGCAGAGCTAGTGCCAGCAGCAGCAGTGGCACGTTTGGTGGGAGTGGGAAGAATACCCAATCCCTTCCACTGCCGTGGCATGTGCAGCCCATGCCTTAGCACCTGCTCTTCCTCCTCTTCTTCCGCCCCTCGCTGTCCCCAGTGCCTGTGGAAGGCAAAATGGTGGTGCGGGGTTGAGAGGTGTGCGGCGTGGTGCAGTGCGGTATGTGCAGAGTGAGCAGCAGCAGAAGCAGCAGATGAAGCTGCTGATGCTGCAGATGCCGCAGCAGTCCTCGCAAAGCTAGCCATCCTTTGCAGTTTCGGCTTCCCATGCTCTCTCTGCTGCTGCTCCCCCTCCTCCTCCCCTTCCTCCGGCCCCCCACTCCGGTTCCTAAGCCCCAACTCCTGTCCTACTGACCCTGCTCCCCCCACCACCCCATCCCCCACCCCGCTCACCCCACCCATCTCATTACCTTCATTCCCGCGCCCTATCCCAAACGGCAGAGTGAAGAGGCGAGACAATAGCCGATCCACTGCCGCAGCCCTCATTCCGGCTGATCCTGCCTGCGCGCCCGGCCCCACTGCCGCTACAGCCGTGCCCAGCAGCCCGCCTGCGCGCGTGTCGGCTGCTACAGCCCGGAGCGCTGCTGCTCGCAGGCGCATGACTGACGCTACAGATGTTCGTGGGGAGAACTCGTCGTTATACACAAAGCTGTAGCGGGTGGGAAGGAGAGGGAGAGGGGAGAAGGGGCAATGTAGGAGGGAAGGGGAACACGCAGTAAGGGGTGGGCGTGGGAGGATAGTGGTATCAACAGTGACTGCTCTGAGTGCCTGGTCCCATCCCACTGCTGCTACAGCCGTGCCCAGCAGCCCGCCTGCACGTGTGCCTGCTGCTACAGCCCGGAGCGCTGCTGCTCGCAGGCGCATGACCGACGCTACAGATGTAGCAGGGGAGAACTCGTCGTTATATACGAAGCTGTAGGCGATGAGGGGGGAAGGGAACGTGGGAAAGGCATCAGTGAGGGTCTCTGAGCGCTGCTGCTCGCAGGCGCATGACTGATGCTACAGACGTGCACGGGGAGAACTCATCATTATATACGAAGCTGTAGCAGAGGGGGGTTGGTGAGTTGGGGGGGGAATGGCACACGTGAGAGCGCCCGGAGCGCTGCTGCTCGCAGGCGCATGACTGAAGCCACTGATGTGCGCGGGGAGAACTCGTCGTTTTACCAAAGCTGTAGCAAACATAAAACCCGTTAAGTCGATAGAAAACGCATAACAGAGAAACGAAGCATCGCAAAAAGGGGTTGTTCAGCGACCACAAAACGTTTTGCGAAGCTCTTCCTGGAATAATATGAAATAAATCTGCTACGCATTTACGTGGTGATGAAGTCGCACAACGGAGATTGAGCACAGCACTGCTCATGTAACCAATAGTTGGTTGCAATTGCAAAGCAAGCACGCACATGATTATGAAGTCGCACTAAAGAAATGAGCAATGCGCTGCCTAATCAAAAGAGAATTGGTCGCGATGTGAAGCAAAGCACGCACGTGGTGATGAAGTTGGAGCAGGCAGATGCAGTGGCGAAGTCCACACAGCGAACACTAAACTGATTGAGAGACCAAGTACAGTCAGCGAAGATAAACAGGCATGCGCAGCAAAGTGAAGCTAAGCCACGCACGTGGTGATGAAGTTGGAGCAGGCAGATGCAGTGGCGAAGTCCACACAGGGCATGGAGCCATAGCCTATCGCCCGCAGCTCAGGAAACCGCTTTCTCAACTATGTGGGGAAGATGGGGTAGGAGGTGGAGAGAGGGGGGAAGGGCTGCTATAAGTGTGTTGCAGGAGTGTTGGTAGGCACCCAGGCAGGCAACTCAAGACAGGTGGCAGGCAGCAGCAGCCGCTGTTGGTGATGCGTGGCAGACAGGCTAATCGATACCGCCCTTTCTACAACGACTCAGGCATCTCCCACCTGAGGTTGTCTCCTCCCAGCCCCTTCCCTACTGCACACCAGGACAAATGTCAAGCTCACCCGGATGGCAGTGAGGCTACGTGTAAAAAGTGAATTTTTGAAACGTCTCAAAGTTCACTTCTCACCCGGATGGCAGTGAGGCTGCACACTACCCCGCCCATGGAATGCCCCACGCTATGGGCACTCACCAGTTGACAGCCTATCTTTTTCCCTTCACAACGACAGCAGTCACAGTTGCCCAAACAACACCCACTCACCCGGATGGCAGTGAGGCTGCACACTACCCCGCCCATGGAATGCCCCACGCTATGGGCACTCACCAGTTGACAGCCTATCTTTTTCCCTTCACAAGGACAGCAGTCACAGTTGCCCAAACAACACCCACTCACCCGGATGGCAGTGAGGCTGCACACTACCCCGCCCATGGAATGCCCCACGCTATGGGCACTCACCAGTTGACAGCCTATCTTTTTCCCTTCAAAAGGACAGCAGTCACAGTTGCCCAAACAACACCCACTCACCCGGATGGCAGTGAGGCTGCACACTGCGCCTCCCATGGAGTGCCCCACAAGTCGCAGCCCATATCCCTCGCACTCGCCGCCCTCACCCAGTAGCTCCGACAGAATGCCTGCAGGGAAGAGAGTGAGAATGGGAAAAAGACAGGAACGGGAAAGAACCCTTGAAATGAGACAAGTGTGCCCATTCTCCATTATCCTTGAGACAAGCACCCTTGCATTCGTCCCCCTCCATCCTCCACCCCTCCCCCTCTCCCCTCGCTCTCCTCCTCTCCCCCATCCCCCATATTATCCAGCTGCTATAGAGCCACGTCCCGTCCCGTGCCACTGCCACCACCATATCAGTACCACCGACCAACATCAGCACCCCCCAATAGCAGCAACCACCGCCATAAGCACCGACTAATACCACCACTCACCTCTTCTCAACCGCTTCCTTTCCTTCTGCCCCAGTAGCGACCCCTCCTCTTCATCCCTTGCCCCATCCTCAACACTCCCTCCTCTCCCATCTACCCTCCCGTCTCTCCCTTCAACTCCTCCTCGTCTCCCCCATCCCCCATATTATCCAGCTGAAGAGCCAGATCCCGTGCTGCTGTCACCACCATATCAGCAATACACACCATCACCAGCACCCACTAATACTACCACTCACCTCTTCTCGGTCGCTTCCTCTCCTTCTGCCCCAGCAGCGACCCCTCCTCTTCATCCCCTCCCCCATCCTCCACACTCCCTGCCTTTCCTACCTCCCCCTCCTCGTCTTCCCCATCCCCCATGTTATCAAGCTGCAGAGCCAAATCGCGTGCTGCTGTCACCACCCCCGCATGGCCAAAGTACGGCACCAGTCTGTCCGTCACCAGGGGAGGATGGAGCTCGGACCTAGGGGGGAATGGAACGGGAGAGGCGAGGGGGGAAATGGAGGAAGCTGGAAGTGCTGCTGTCACCACCCCCGCATGGCCAAAGTACGGCACCAGTCTGTCCGTCACCAGGGGAGGATGGAGCTCGGACCTAGGGGGGAATAGAACGGGAGAGGCGAGGGGGGAAATGGAGGAAGCTGGAAGTGCTGCTGTCACCACCCCCGCATGGCCAAAGTACGGCACCAGTTTGTCTATCACCAGGGGGGGCCCGGGGGGGGAGGAGCTCGGACCCAGGGGGAAACAAGCCGCAGGCTGAATCCCCAGAATCCGAAAAGGGGCGACTTACCATACCAGGCCGAATTCCACTCACTCACACTCTGTGGGTCTAAGCAACTCAACATGCCTGCCTGCCAGCCACTCACCTGTCAATCCCACCATATCCGCATCACTGAGCGGGCACTCCCGCCCCAGCCCATCAATAATAATGTCCTCCAATCCAGGGACTCCGTGCCTCTCACTGCCACCACCACCAAGCTCAGCTTCACTCGAGTATACTCAGAGCTGAACTGAGGCAGGTCAACAGACTTTTGAAAATTCTCAAAAGTCACTCGAGTATACTCAGAGCTGAACTGAGGCAGGTCAACAGACTTTTGAAAATTCTCAAAAGTCACTCGAGTATACTCAGAGCTGAACTGAGGCAGGTCAACAGACTTTTGAAAATTCTCAAAAGTCACTCGAGTATACTCAGAGCTGAACTGAGGCAGGTCAACAGACTTTTGAAAATTCTCAAAAGTCACTCGAGTATACTCAGAGCTGAACTGAGGCAGGTCAACAGACTTTTGAAAATTCTCAAAAGTCACTCGAGTATACTCAGAGCTGAACTGAGGCAGGTCAACAGACTTTTGAAAATTCTCAAAAGTCACTCGAGTATACTCAGAGCTGAACTGAGGCAGGTCAACAGACTTTTGAAAATTCTCAAAAGTCACTCGAGTATACTCAGAGCTGAACTGAGGCAGGTCAACAGACTTTTGAAAATTCTCAAAAGTCACTCGAGTATACTCAGAGCTGAACTGAGGCAGGTCAACAGACTTTTGAAAATTCTCAAAAGTCACTCGAGTATACTCAGAGCTGAACTGAGGCAGCTCAACAGACCTGTCACGCACCTGTCGATCCCTCCCATATCCGCGTCACTGAGCGGGCATTCCCGCCCCAGCCCGTCGATAATCATGTCTTCTAGGGACTCCGTGCCCCTCACTGCCACCACCACCAGGCGCAGCTGATGCAGCACCACCACGAAGTACACCGCCTGCCCTGCTGCCTCCTGTGTTGGAGAACAGGAGAGGTGGAGTGGGGAGGAGGGAACAAGGTCAAGGTGAGGCTTGGCCTCTTCCATCTGCACTCCTCACCGCACTGCCACGACCACCAGCCGTAGCTGATGCAGCACCACCACGAAGTATATCACCTGCCCCGTTGCCTCCTGTGTTGGAGCAAAGGGGAGATGGAGGGGGAAGGGAGGGGAGATGAGGAGAAGGAGCCAGGTCACAGTCAGGCTTGGGCTATGTGATCCCCAAAAGCACTGCCAGCACCACCAGCCGTAGCTCACCTTACCCAGGTCTCACCTGTCTGACCTGCCCCACATCACATCTGTACGGAATCTCACCTTACCCAGGTCTCACCTGTCTGACGCGCGCCTTCCTGAGCGGAGGGCGGCAGGTGGAGGTATTTGAGGAATGCAGACGCATGGCCCACCTACCTTCACCATCGCATCACCAGCTCACACCTGTTACAGAAGACACCTGAACCAGATCTCACCTGTCGGATGCGCGCCTTTCTGAGAGCAGAGGGCGGTAGGTGGAGGTACTTGAGAAAGGCTGACGCATGGCCCACCTACCTTCACCATCTCATCACCAGCTCACACCTGCTACAGAAGACACCTGAACCAGATCTCACCTGCTACAGAAGACACCTGAACCAGATCTCACCTGCTACAGAAGACACCTGAACCAGATCTCACCTGCTACAGAAGACACCTGAACCAGATCTCACCTGCTCCAGAAGACACCTGAACCAGATCTCACCTGCTCCAGAAGACACCTGAACCAGATCTCACCTGCTCCAGAAGACACCTGAACCAGATCTCACCTGCTCCAGAAGACACCTGAACCAGATCTCACCTGTCTGACCCGCGCCTTCCTAAGAGAGGAGGGCGGCAGGTGGAGGTACTTGAGGAATGCAGATGCATGCCCCCTCCACCAGTTGTCACCTTGCAGCGCGGGGTACCTGAGAAAGGAATGGGACAAGGAGGGAGAGAAATGGGTGGAGATGTTCATTCAGAACCACAAGAAGGTACAGGCTGTGCTGCAGGCTGTGCGGCGTGATAAAAGTTGAGTTTTGAAACGTCTCAAAACTCATCGGGGGGGGGAGGAAAAAGGGTGGAAATGTCCATTCAGAGCCATAAGAAGCTAAAGGCTGAGCTGTTGCCATGGGCCGTACCTGCAAGCTGTAGGTTTGACTACTGTACCATACCTAGACTGCTGCCACGGAAAGAAAATCCCTTGCATCCACACCCATTCACAAGCAAAGGTGAACATTGAACAAGCTTGGGCTACACCGTACCTGAAGTGCACGCCTGGATGGACCGTACCTAGGAGTCTGGCCATACCGTACCTCGACTGCTGCCACGGAAAGAACATTCCTTGTCTCCACACCCACGCGCACGCAAAGGTGAAGGGATACCGGCCCATGTCCAATAACGGGCCCTGCGTAAAGTGGGGATGATAGTGGACGGGAAAGGAGGGGAACTTACACATAGCCAGGAGCCTGCATGCAACCAGGAACTTGCACGTCCAACCAACCAAGAACCTGCATTGCACACAATCAAGAACCTACACTAGACGCAACCAAGCACCCACCGTGTAGGCAGCAATGGCAAGCGGCAGCAGAGCCGCAGCTTCCTCAACAAGGCTTATCGGAACAGAGGCAGGGCGGGAGGGGAACGGACCCCCCTCCGCCAGCCTCTGACTGCTGCTGCCCTCACTGCTAACCCTGCTAACCCCATGCCCGCTGCCTGCATTGCTGCTGTCAATACCCCTCATGCTGCTGCCTGCAGTGCTGCTGCTGCTGGTGGTATTAGAGTTGAGGGAGTCAAAGACAGAGGGTGCAGTGGCAGCGGAGAGGGGGGTGGCGGAGGAGAGAGGGGTGGCAGCGGAGGTGGATGGCAGTGCGTTGAGGTGGGCGGGTTGGGAAGAGGACAAGGAGGTGGTAGGGGCATCGACAGCTGGCGGTGGGCGATTGGCTTGGAGAAGAGCGAGGCCTGCGTGCACAGAACAGAAGACAAAACGGTTGGTATGGGTTTGATTGTTCACCCTGCAGCCAGGCTAGGCTTGAGCAGAGGCAGCATGGCGTGGCATGGCATGATATTGCATGGTGAAACAATCGCCATTACCTGCAAGCAACTCCAGGTGACTGGCCCCCACGGCTCTGTACGCCATCACATCGCCCACCGCCAGTTATGTCACTACCCCTAGCACCTGCCACTTGTTGTCATTCAATGCCTTTTGCCATCACATGAACTGCCATTAACCACCTGCTCTCACCCATCACCCACCTGCGAGCAGCTCCAGGTGACTGGCCCCCACAGCTCTGTACGCCATCACATCCCCCAGCAGCGATGCCACTATGCCTAGCACCTGTATCTGCTACCATCAGCCATCCCATCACCTGCCATTACCCATCACCCACCTGCGAGCAGCTCCAGGTGACTGGCCCCCACCGCTCTGTATGCCATCACATCGCCCAGCAGCGATGCCACTATGCCTAGCACCTGTATCTGCTACCATCAGCCATCCCATCACCTGCCATTACCCATCACCCACCTGCGAGCAGCTCCAGGTGACTGGCCCCCACCGCTCTGTATGCCATCACATCGCCCAGCAGCGATGCCACTATGCCTAGCACCTGTATCTGCTACCATCAGCCATCCCATCACCTGCCATTACCCATCACCCACCTGCGAGCAGCTCCAGGTGACTGGCCCCCACCGCTCTGTATGCCATCACATCGCCCAGCAGCGATGCCACTATGCCTAGCACCTGTATCTGCTACCATCAGCCATCCCATCACCTGCCATTACCCATCACCCACCTGCGAGCAGCTCCAGGTGACTGGCCCCCACCGCTCTGTATGCCATCACATCCCCCAGTAGTGACGCCACTATGTCCACCTCATCGTCTACCTCGTCCCTGGGGCAAGAGGGATGGGGACGAGAGAGAGGGGAAGAGGGAGAATGGGGGTAGACATGAGGAAGCGTAAAAGCACTCTTAATGATCATCCCCCAACAGCGATGCCACTATGTCCACCTCGTTGTCTACCTCGTCCCTAGGGCAAAAGGAGAGGGGGAAAGCGGAGCAGGGCAGAGGTATCATGGGTCCAGCCAGCCATCACATCCCCCAGCAGCGATGCCACTGTGTCCACCTCATCGTCTACCTCGTCCCTGGGAAGGGATGATTGGGGGAGAACAGGAAAGGCTTTGCGAATGTTCAGTTAGGCGTCCCCATTGCGGTTCATTCAATATGCACACATAACTGAATTAATGCACTGCAATACCACACCAGTGTGTCACACAGTGCTTACCATGGTCTGGCCCGCCCTTGGCAGCACAGGATCTCCCAAATGCTCCAGTTGAACACCTTTCGGTAGTGTGCCCACCATGCGTGGTCCCAGTGGTGTACACGCTAATACTTCCCAAGAACGCATGAGTCAAAGGACTGCGTACCAGGGTCTAGCCCGTCCCATGCAACACAGAATCTCCCTGATGCTCCAGTTGAACATCTCCCGGTAGTGCGCCCGCCACGCGCGGTCCCGCATGGCGTAGAACGACCGCCACATCAGCACGTCGCTGCCAGCTAAGCACTGCCCACCGACGGCGATCCAGCTGGCAGTTAGGACGAAGAGAGCCAGTGGGAGGAGATAGGTCCAGGGGCCTTGGTAACCCACTGGGGATGAGATGTGGAAAACAAGGGGGATTCAAAAGGGGAGAGTGAGGAGGGGGAGAGTGGGAGAAGGAAAACGTGGTGAGGATGAGGAAAGCCAGTGGGATGGGAGGAGGTAGGCCCAGCGGCCTTGGTTGGTAACCAACTGGAAAAGGGGAAAACAAGGGTTTAGGGAGACAGCATGAGGGTAGTTCAGAGTCCAACATCTATTGGATGACTTTTGAGACGTCAAAAGATTCACATGAGTTGGTAGGTACGTACATACAGGAGACAGGAGACGTACGCTTCAAGGGGCATGAGGGTAGTTCAGAGTCCAGCATTGATTGGACGATGGCGACAGTGAGGAAGAGAGCTGCGCCCGTTTGTAACAGGGTCACCACATGGCCTACCCTGCTCCACCGCACCCACGCACGGTAACGACGCTGATGACAGACAAGAAGGGGGAATGGAATTAGACAGACCAGGGGAAGACATACGTTTGTAACAAGGTTACCACATGGGCCATCTTGCTCCTCCTCACCCACGCACAGTAGCGACCCTGAACGCACGAGCATGGTAGTGGCACAGGTTGGGTGGGTGGGTGGGGGAGTAAACGATAGAGGGGTAGGGGGAGGGCGGAGGGCGGAGGACCCATAAGCACCTGTCGCTTGGACTTGTTTGCGCAGCCAGACAGTGAGGTGGAGAGCCTGATCGCTTGCAGCTCGTCGCCATCAGTGTCCGCGTCACTCCCCCAGCCATTGATCCCCCAGGCCAACCCCACTTCCCCGCACACATTTCATGTTTGAGACGTCTCAAAACCACACACATCCCATACTCACTTGTCGCTCGGACTTGTTTGCGCTCCCCGACAACGAGGTGGACAGCCTGATCGCTTGCAGCTCGTCGCCATCCGAGTCCGCGTCACTCCCCCAGCCTTTGATACCCGGGTCTTCTACACTCCCCCCTGCTTGATTACTTCCTCTTCCCGCTCCTCCTCCTCCTTCTCTTCCCCCTCCTTCTCCTCCTTCTCTTCCTCCTCCTTCTCTTCCTGCTCTCCCTGAAACTCCTCGTCGCCTGCTTTTTTCTCGTGCAGCAGAGACTCGGCTGCTCCCCCCTCTGCCAGGAGCTTCATCCTCCTTATAAGATGATCTCTCGCTTTCGTTTAGAGATGCCAAGTCCTGCGCTGAACCGGCTACGGTTATTGCGTCAGCTGCTGCAGCTTGAGCTGCTGCTGCGCCTACGGCCCAAAACACGCGCAGGAGACAGGTGAATGCGACTGTAATGAAGGAGATTGTAACGGTGCTGGAACATTCATTCTTCTTGCACTCTACACCTGTGGCGAAAGAAGTTCCAGCAACGAGCAGAATGAATGGCAGAAGGATCAGCGAAATCGTGCGAAACCGGCGAAGCCCACTACAGCAACCGAAGCCTCTTCGCCAAGTCCCCATTTCGTCCGCATGAGAAGAAGCCGAGCCGCGACTTGATTTAGCCCACAAGGATCACACAATTAGGAGAAATTGGAAGTCATTGACGGTCTTAAATACCGATTGGTGTACTTTGAAGGCGAGCATGTACAGTATCTTCGGACCCTTCTTGGATTCTTTAACACTGCTTTACTACGGTCTCGTCAACGTTCTTAGGTTCTGACATAATCTCAAAGAACGGTACCGTCAACCTAGTGGGAGCCGCTTTGGAAACTGGGCCTCAAAGCAAGCAATGCGAACGAATGAAGTACTGTAATGCTGCTTGCCAAATTGCCACCTCGAAACTGATCACTTCTGCTTGGACGACCTGGTGAACCGTGTTTGTGAAGCCTGAAGTGGGCCAGAGTAGAAACGGTTTCTTTGCGCAAATACTGGGACCTGTTGTGAAGGTTCATTCGTCTCGTATGTCTGATACAGAGCCGAGCTGAGCTACTCTCGGGGTTGCACTCTCAGAGGGGTTGGATGTGGCTTGGTGCAATAAAGATGCTTACAGAGCGGTTGAAAGTCAAGCCTTCTTGGTCCTCCTCGAAATTGTCCTCGCTCGCAACCCCAAACATGCATTTGTTCACATTCGGTCTTGTCTTGGTGCGTGTAGGTCCGTAGTTGCAGCTGCTGCGCTTGGTTGGAGCAACGCGTCCTAACCAACCCCCATGGGCGTCACATGCTCGAGGGCGGGAGATGCTGACATCGACGGCCTCTCCCACGAATCGACGGTTCAGATGACGTTTACAAAAGTCTGTGTTCTGACCCTCAACGATTGGCTGTCATCTCGTGTCGTGTGCCCCTTTGTTTCAACTTACAAGCCCCGTAAGGTCAGGGGCGGCGTATTAGCGAAGAGTTATACGAACAGGAGTCTGGGTCACATTTGCCATGCGGTAACCAGACGGATCAGGTGAACCGAAGTGATGGAGATTACACCCAGTTGATGAGATTACACTCAATGCAGCATAGAGTCCACTGGAATCAAGTTGGCTCTGGAAGGGCAATTCGCCGTTGAAAAGTCCCTGGTTTTTTGTTTTTAATCTGGTTGAGTGTCTATCTCTGAATCTGGGCGGTTTGGCTGCTGGAACATCTGCCTTGGCTCATAGGAACCGAGGACGTCAACGGTGCCATCTGCAGAGTTCTAACATGTAGATAAAGTGCCTCTTTATATTCAGCTTTCATGTTGCAATCATGTCATGTGCAAAATGGCCGAATCTAGTGCTTAAGAGTTGGTTGGAATGGAAACATGGTGGTGCTGTCTGTGTAATCTGCCATATGAAAATTTGAATGATTGCTTAGGAGGTACATGTTAAGAAAAGAAGTGATGATGTCATTGATGTGAGTTGGGGTACATATGACAAACCCTAACCTTTGTACCCCCTAAGACAAACCTCACTATAGGCTACAACATTTGACACACCCCCATAGCCTAAGTGAAGGGTGTCTAGCAAAACCAAAAGTGTATGGTCACAAGACCAGTCACAAAGATACAAAGCTCAGGGTGGATCACAACGTCACCACACACTCTGAGCACAAGCAACAGTGGCCACAAGGCCAGTCCAAGAGTTCACAAGTGTGTATAGCAAGAGTACAAGCAAAGCAAACAGTAAACTCAAGCCTATACACGACTAGATTCTGTGTCAACAAGGCCTAACTGCACACAACACCTCTGGTGGTCACAAGGCGGAAGCGCCTTGGTGAAGATGTCTGCAGTTTTGGCCTCGGACTCCACAAACTCGAAGCGAGCCTGTCCACGTCTCTGCAACTCTCGCAGAAGGAAGTACCTGACGTGAATGTGCTTCACTCTGCTCTCCATTCGCGGCTCACGACAGAGGAGAATCAACGCCTTGTTGTCAGTGAACAAGGTCGGTGCAGAGCTCGACCGCTCACCAAGGTCGGCGAGCAAAAACGTCAACCAACGCAGCTCCTGTGCCGCCATGGCACCAGCGTAGATCTCAGCCTCAGCTGTAGAGGTCGAGACCGAAGAGGAGCATGTGGACCGCCAGGAAACAGCTCCAGAACCCAAGCTGAAACAGTACCCCTGAGTAGACCTGTGAGTCTCAGCGTCGTCAGCGTAAGAAGAGTCACAGTGACCAGTAAGTACGACAGGCTGCTGCCCTCCAAGAACTAGCCCCACGCCTGATGTCGTCGCTAGGTACTTTGCCACCCTCACAGCTGCCGTCCAGTAAACAGGACGGTGCCTCCCTGGCGCAACAAAGCGAGCAAGGACGCTGAGAGGGAAGGCGAGGTCCGGGCGAGTACAAGTCATCAGGTACATGAGGCAGCCCACTAGCTCTGCGTAGGGACCACGGGACTCAAACGGCTCGTCAGGAAAGGGTCCAGTGAGTCTGTGGTCAACAGCAAGAGGTGTGCGCTGTACTGTGGAGTGCTGTAGCTCGAACCGCTGAAGGACCTGCTGCACCATGTGTGACTGTGAGAGTGTAATGGTGCGAGCAGCTCTGTCCCTGGTGATCTGCAGGCCAAGGTAGTGACGCAACTCACCAAGGTCAGTGCACGTGTGTCTCTTCTGCAGTTCGGACTTCACGTCTGCCAAGGCAACCCTGTCACCAGTGGCAAAAACCAGGTCGTCGACGTAGACTAGAACAAAGAATGGTGTGGAGCCACGACGAACGAACAGCGACGGGTCGGCAGATGACGGCTGAAAACCAAGGTCAGCGAGAGCAGAACGAAGGGTGTCGTGCCACTCACGAGGAGCCTGACGGAGACCGTAGACCGGTCGCCTCAGCCTTCACTCGGTCCCAGGAGGGAAAGTGCCAGTGAAGGCAGAGGGACGACGCAGCCAGACCTCCTCGTGTAGGCTACCCTGAAGAAACGCAGTGGAAAAGTCGAGAGAGTGTAACTCGTAGTCTCTCTGTGCCGCTACGTGCAGTAACACCCGAAGAGTGGTCATCTTCGGGGTGGGCGCGAAGGTCTGAAAGAAGTCAACTCCCTCGCGCTGACTGAAACCTCTAGCCACGTAGCGCGCCTTGAAGACCGGAGGAGATCCCGGTGGCCGCTTCACCCTGTAGATCCACATGCCATCGACTACGTTCGCCCCAGGGGGGGGAACCTCGTCGACGTAGGTGCCTGTGGATCTGTAGGAGGCCATCTCTGCGTCCATGGCAGCTCTCCACGGAGAGGCCCAAGGCCCTGACACTGCCTCAGCGTAAGTGCGAGGAGTCGGTATGTCAAGGGCATCGGGGTCTCCCTCAGGGGCGAGCAGCATGGCACAGAGATGAGGGGAAGCGGCTGCCAGGAACTCTAGCTCAAACTGCCTGTCCTCTAGGGCGTCACAGCCAAGGGCAGACACACCCCCGACGGCCAGAGGACTGGAAGGAGGAGCAGCCACAAGACTGGTGGCGAAGTCAAGGCGGCGAGTAGAGGCAAACTCAGTGACTGCGGCAGTAAGAGCGGAGACAGAGGACACAGAGGCACGAGGGTGGGTAACAAGAGAGGCGAGAACACGAGAGAGAACAGGACGGTACGTGCGGTAGTAGTCAGTGACAGGAGTAGAAAGCGAAGCAGTGAGGGCCGACTCAGAAGGAGACGGAAGCACAGACGGAGACAGACGAGGCGGACTAGAACGAAGTAAGGCAGTACGAAGGTCAGTGAAGGGAACAGGGGACGAGGGACGAGCACGAGGGGAGCGACGAGAGGCCCAAGTCTGAGAAGGAGGAGGGGACAACGAAGACTGAGAACGAGGGAAAACAGCTGGAGAGGGGTCAGGAGGAGGAAGCGGAGGACCCGAGACGGGAGGAGAGGGGGAGGAGGAAGGAGAGCGGGAGGGGAGACCGAGGGCCCGAAGACCGGAGACAGAAGGAGGAGGCGGCGGCTGCTGCTGCGGCGGCGGCGGCTGCTGCTGCGCTGCTGATGCTGCTGCGGCGGCTGCTGCTGCTCCTCCTGCTGCTGTAGCGGCTCCAGCTCTTGCGCCTCCTGCTGCTGCGGCGGCTCCAGCTGCGGCTGCTGCAGCTGCTCCT